TCCCCAAAGGTTAGCAAGGCATTTTTATGCACTTTCTTCCTTTTTGAAGTTGTGAAGGTATTTGACCTCTGGTATTATTGGAGTTTTTCTTACATGATGGTGGCAAAGTTCTGTCTCTTCATCTCCTTGTTTATTTTGCCTTTTATTCTGTTCCAAGAACAACGCTTCTTTAAAATTTCAAATTTAAGATGTTCTCTTAGTGCTTCTCTATTGACCTTTTTGAAGCACATCATCCATTTTCCAATTTCCCTGGAAGGGAGGCATTTGTGTAGTAGCAGAGTACACAGGCTTCTCTGGAGCATTTTACAGCACCAACCATGGATCCTTTAGTCTCTAGATTCTGTACCCTACTGAGCAATTCAGTTCCACAGGTTTAAGGCTCAGTCCTACAAAACTAGCTCCACATCAGACAACTGTCACAAGTTCTGGCTGCCTATGCTTCTGACTAAACAGCTGTAACTTGGACATTATTATAACCGCCTCATCAGGCTCAATCATTTGACAGGATATTACAAACCACAGGGAAAGAGTTTACTAACCTTCCCTAGTTGACTATAAAGGCTGCAGCTCAGACAAAACCAATGAGAATGATGCACACGTACTGAGTGTGGGAGCACAGTGCTCCCATGCCCTCCCTTAGGTGCCTCCTATATTAACTATTTCTATCATCACTGCATGAGAATACCTTACAGAAGCAACCTAGCAGAGGGGTGTTCTGGATAGCTTCAGCTGTCCTCTTGACTTTCATTTCAATAGCATAAACTTAGGCATAGCAGGATTATTAAAAACAGTCAAAAATAACAAAGACCACTCCTATCACTGAAGAAATTCCAAGGGTTTTTAGTAACTCTGGGTAGAAGCTGGAGACAAAAGCCAAATATATTTCTTGTTATACCACAGCTCCAGAGCCAGGGGACCTGGGTTTGAATCCCAGGAACCATGGTCAAGCTGTGTGACTTCGGTAATTTCCATGTGACCTCATTTCCTCTGCTGTTAAATGGTGATAAGAAAAGAACCTACTTGGGGCTGGAGAGATGTTCAGCAGGTAAGGGCACTGGCTGTTCTTGCAGAGGGCCCGGATTCCATTTCCAGCATCTGTAGTGGTTAACAACCATCCATAACTCCAGCTCCAGGGGATACGATACCTTCCTCAGGCTTCCACAGGCATTGCATACACGGTGACTTATGTATATGCAGGCAAAACACCCAGACACATAAAATATTAATTAAAAAGAATAGCATCTACTTGATAGGTTTGTTTTATCAATTGAATTAATAAAAGCATCTGTACTGGCTGTACTGGGCTGGGGGTGTATCTCAGTGGCAGAGGACTTGCCTCGTATGTACAAGGCTATTAGATCTCCAGCACTACAAAAAAAAATGAAGTAAAATTGTCAGTGGCGGCAGGGATGGAGACAGAGCTCCACACTGCCGCCTGCAGCATCCTAGGAAGTGCCTTTAATCTTTTGGGGATGTCAACTCTTATAAAACCAGATCCTTAGCTTAGATGCAGAAAAGAATTTTAAGATGAATCAATACAAATCAGAGGATTTATTCAGAGGTTTTTTTTTTTAGGTTTTTTTTTTTTTTTTTTTTTTTTTTTTTTTTATATGGGAGGGGGAAATTTTTTTTTTTTTTTTTTTTTTTTTTTTTTTTTTTTTTTTGAGACAGGGTCTCGCTGTGTAGTCTTAGCTGGCCTGAAACTCTTTATGTAGACCAGGCTGGCCTTGAACTCACAGAGATCCATCCAGCCTGCCTCTGCCTCCTGAATGCTGAAACTAAAAGCACACACCACCACACCTAGCCTTTAAGAGAGATTTTAAAATATAGACTTAAGCACAAGCATTAAAGAAAGAAAGAAGCTGCCATAAAGAAAGTAAGGTAGACTAGGGAACGTAGATGTGGGCTTCACTGTTTACAACAGTGATACATAAGATTTAGGGGATTTTTTTTTTAAATCATTATCTTCAAAGGGTTATTAAGGAATCTGAATGACATTACAGGTGGTTCAAGGAGCATCTGGCTGGACCGATGAAAACAGGAGATAGAAACTGGGCAGGAAGTTTAAGGCAGGGACACCAAAGGCAGCAGTTCCAAGAATGTCCTTGGTTCTTGGCCTTGAAGATCAGAAGGGAGCTCTGGTTTTGTATCTCCTGAATTAGCAATCTTGCCTGGAGACCACACATGAGGGTATGACTGGAAGTCCAGTCCAGACACTCATCTCTTCTGGTGAACAATTTTGGAACCAGATCTCTGAGTTTTCACAGTAGAAATTTCTGGGTTTTTATGGTAGAAATGGGTTTTATCTATTCCATGATTTTTAACTATTGACACAAAAGCATAACTCTCACTTCAAAGAGGATAAGAGATTTTTTTTTTCTGGAGCCAAAAATGAGTGACCATGGCCCAGGAACACAGATTCAGGCTACCCCAAATTCCATGTTCCAGCATGGAAGTGTTGTGCTCAGAGATCAGACCCCCAAGAATAACCACGGAATCTGAGGGCACACAAGAACAAAGAGTCTTTATTCAGGCTTGAGCTCAGGCTCTCAGACCTCACCAACGCAATGGATCTGTGCTGAGAGGCCCGATCACAGGGGGTGGGACATTTTATAGGTTTTAGACAAAGGGAGGAGGGGAATAACAGAGTCACACTTTGATTGGTCCAAGGAGCCCACGCACGCCAACACACTTTTGAATTGATTGGTTATAGGGGATGCAGTCCTGGAGATTTCTCATTGGTGGGTGCTACCCTCAGAGCTATGGAGTGTGATGACTGTTATCTGTGGGGCCAGAAGTCCCTGTTTCTACCTTATAAGGCTGTTATATGCCTAGGCTTGCTTAATCTATAGCCTCCTAGTGTGGGGGTGGTAGGTGGAGATTACAACATTCCTGGGTTCCAGGCTTGCCTGAAACAGCTAGTCACAATGGGATAAATACAGTTTGTCCTTTCAATCAAGCAATCAAGCAGTTTACAGAAGCGAAAAAGAGCAGTTAGTCCTAAAGAGGGGCAGGGGTCTCGGGAGTTCAGGGAGGAGGCCAATGAGGAGGGCTTCACATTCCCCCCTTTTCTTTGTAACTTAGAGAGGACCCAATCTTGGGTCCAGTTTAGGGTTCCTGAGGGGGGGTTCTAGGGGCTGATACTGGGACCTCAGAACCATGAGTTGCACTGTGCTCACCCGTTCTTTGACAAAGGCAACCAGCCGATTGATGATGCATGGTCCAACAGTTACCAATAATAAGAGGAGGACTATAGGTCCAGCTAAGGCTGAGAGCAAAGTGGTGAGCCAGGGAGATGAATTAAACCAAGATTCAAACCATCCTTCCTGGGCCTCTCACTCTCGCTTCCTCTTTGCTAATCCTTCCTTTACCTTAGCCATAGATTCCTTGACTACCTCTGAATGGTCAACATAAAAACAGCATTCCTCCCCCAAGGCTGCACAAAGCCCTCCTTGCTGCAGAAAAATCAAGTCCACCCCTCACTGGTTTTGTAATACAACCTCAGCGAGAGATGAGAGAGATGCCTGTAGATGAGAGATTGAATTTTCAAGTTGCTCAATGTCCAGGTCAGTGGCAGCCCTTAGATCTGAATAGTATTTGCCCTGAGTAATTAATGAAGCCGTCCCTGTCCCTATCCCTGCCAAGCTAGTACCCAGAAGTAAACTGAGAGTGAGGCCTGTAGCTGTGATAAGTTCCCGTCGCCTGCAAGGGGGACCACCCCTCCCCTCTAGGTGACTGCAGACCGCGTCCCCATAGTGATATAGGAGCCGAGGCACCAGGCGGACAAGGACACAGAATCCTCCAGTTTGTTTTAAGACCGCCGCAGATGCGCAAGGAGTTAAGCCGGTGGAACATGCCCACCAAGTGTCATTCTGGGGGATCATGTACTCAGATGGGTTACTTACAGGGAGGGTCCCATTGCAAAGGGTTGCTGTATCCTCAGTTACGTTTCCAACGCATAGTCCTCACCCAGTCACCTGTTGTAGTGTTATAAGATGATGGGGGGACTGCCAGTGGCACTGATTTGGCTCCTTTGTCCAAGCCACGTTGGCCTTCACAGCTATCCCCTCATAGTAGGGGGGTTGCTGTGTCATAACATAACCAGCACAAGCTAGTGAGATCGGGCCTTGTGGCATTCAGGACCAAGTAAGATTGTTGTAGTAGATCCACCATGGGGTGTCGTCCCTCACCTAAGTTGGGCTCGGGGTGGCATCTCTCTGTCCATAGTCCAAGTCTGGTTGCTGCTGAGGTCAGGGGTTGCATGGGTGTAGTTTGCATGGGTGTAGAATCCTGGGAGAACTTGTGGCCTGGGCTTGCAGTGGAGCAAAGTTTTACGGCAGTTGCCTGTGTGGGGCACATGGGGGGTGGGGCTTAAGTATTTTGTTAGGGCCTACTACCGATGGTTGCTCTATCGGTTCCACCTTTAGCCTAATTACGATGGTGGAACCTGCATGTCCTCCATATTTATAATATACCATACTCCATCTGAGGCCACTTTGCTAGCGCCTGTCTTGTTTTCCTTTGGCAGAAAACGTGACTTTTATTCAGTCCAGATCACACGGCTCACAGGACTGTCTCCTTGGATTGGGGATGGGCCCATACTGGATGGGGTTAGTATAGGCAAAAGAAACTAAATCTGTCTTTTTCACTGACCATCTCCATTCCCTGTCATTGGAGGTGACACAGGCCCAACTTTTTCAGAAATAGGACTCCTAGCCTCCACATTCCCTCTTGTCGTTATGGTGGCCCGGGCACGCATAAAACCCATGCCTCCTAGCCAGGTCCTGTTGCGCTGAATTATAAACCTGATTTAAATCACACAGACAGAAGTATGAGTCAGGCCACCAGGTGTTCTCGGGGGCCATGTGTGTGACCTGGCTTAGAATATCATTTGTCTCCCTGTCCATGAGAATCCAGGTTAGCTTGCACGGTTTATGGGGGTTGCCTTCTGTTCCCTCGGTGGCAGGTCAAGAATCTCAATAAGATTAGCCAATACATTTTTAGGGGCCCACCCGGAGTCTTAGCTTAAGGGGATTATGCGGGTCAGGTGAGGCAGTCCACTTATCCTCTCCTGGAGACTCAGTCAACTCAGGGTCTGCTGTCTTAGCATGAGAGTGGTGGATCCAGGAGGTGGGGTTCCAGGGTCTCTCGGCAATGTCTACAGATGTAGACTCGATCGCCAGGCTGGTAGTTGTGGGGACAGGTCGGGGAGTGGCCTCATAGATGGCTTTCAGCCAGGGCCATATGTCCCCATGCACCTGGGCCACCGACCCTAAAGAATCAAGCAACTGTTGGTTATCAAATTTAGCGATTAAGTCAGCTTGTAAGTTGGGAAGAATGGGGGGGGTCTACCAAACATGATTTCATATGGGGTTAGTCCTAGTAGATAGGGCGAGTTCCCCACCCTATACAGGGCAAAGAGAAGGAGAGCCACCCAGTCCCCACCAGTCTCCATGGTCAGTTTGGTAAGGGTCTCTTTTAGAGTTTTGTTCATCCTTTCTACCTGCCCTGAATTCTGTGGTCTATATGCACAATGTAATTTCCAATTTGTCCCCAATATCTTAGCTAACGATTGGGTTACCTGTGAAGCAAAGGCAGTCCTGTTGTTGGAGCTCAGAAGGGCTGGGATGCCATACCTGGGTAAGATGCCTTCCAGCAGTTTCTTGGCTACCACCTGAGTGGTCTCATGCTTGGTGGGGAAGGCTTCAGTCCATCCTGAAAAGGTGTCTACCAGAACTAGTAGATATTTGCCTGGCTTAAATTCTGTAAAGTCCATCTCCCAGTGGGCCTCTGGTCTAGAGCCCCTCATTTGAGCCCCTATTCCTTAGGATGGTTTTCAGCATTGGTCAGCTTACAACTAAGGCATGCAGAGGCAACTGCATTAACCAGTGGGCGGAGATTCAAGACTTTTAAGTGAGCATTTCTTAAGAGTTCAGCTGTTTTCCTTGTACCCAGGTGAGTGGTTTGGTGGATGTGTGTGAGGAGGTCTTTGGCCAAGTCATTTGGCAGAATAATTCTACAGTCGCCTGTATGCCACCAAGCCTCGATCTTTTGGGTCATGGGAAGTTTGTGTATCAGTTTTATATCCTCTTGGGAATAGTGAAGCTGATCAGGTAGGATGGGGGGGCGGGATCTGGCAGCTGGATTGGCAAAATCTGGAAGGCCTCCAGAGCTACATCTTTGGCAACCCGGTCTGCTCTCTGATTTCTCCGAGCTATGGGCGTTTTAGCTTTCTGGTGCCCAGGGCAGTGGATAATAGCTGACTTCTTAGGCAGCCATAGAGCTGCCAACAAGTCAAGAATTTCTTGTTTATTTTTAATAGCTTTTCCCTCCACTGTGAGCAGCCCCCTTTCCTGGTAGATGGCTCCATGCACATGTGCTGTAGCAAAGGCATATCGGCTGTCTGTGTACACATTTAATCGTCTGTTCTTTCCAATCCTAAGGGCCTCAGTCAGAGCTATCAGTTTGGCCCTCTGAGCCAAGGTTCCCACTGTCAAAGCCACTGCCCAACAGTCTCAGTCTCAGTTACCACTGCCGCCCCTGCATACCTCTGCCCATCCTTCATGAAATTGCTACCATCAGTGAACCAAGTAGCTTCTGTATCGGAGAGTGGCTGATCGGTCAGGTCATTTCTGAGCTCATGTATCTGGCTCAGGATCACTGCACAATCATGCAGGGGAACATCCAAGTACAGGTCGGGCAGCAGCGTGATTGGGTTAAGGGCGGTGCTTGGGAGGAACCGAATTCTCAGAGGTTTAAGAAGTAAGCTCTGATAATGGGTTATTCGGGCGTTGCTCAACCAGCGATCCAGTGGCTGTTTAAGAACTCCCTCAACAGCATGAGGAGTGGTGATGTGCAGTTCTTGCCCTAATGTCAATTTATCCGCATCCTTGACTAGAAGGGCAGTAGCAGCTATAATCTGCAGACACAGTGGCCATCCTGTGGCTACTGGATCAAGATTCTTAGACAAGTATGCCACCGGTCTATTCCAGGGTCCTAACATTTGAGTCAGGACTCCTTTGGCTATTCCTTTCTTTTCATCTATGTAGAGGTGGAAAGGCTTGGTGACATCAGGAAGCCCCAAAGCTGGGGCTGTCAGGAGGGCTTGCTTAATTTCGTTAAAGGCCCTTTCTCTTTCCCCTGTCCAAATGAAAGTCTCATTCTCTTTTGTAGCCTCATAGAGAGGCTTAGCCAATTCAGCAAACCCCAGGATCCAGAGGCGGCAAACCCCTGCTGATTCCAGAAACTCCCTCACTGCTCTCCGGATGTTCGGGACTGGAATTTTCAGCACCTTTTCTTTCCTAGCATCTGTGAGCCATTTTTGTCCTTCCTTTAGAATGTACCCTAGATAAATCACTTCTCGATGACACATTTGTGCCTTCTTAGTGCATGCCCAATATCCTAGCCTGCCCAGAGTCTCCAACAAATCCCTAGTTACTTGCTGACATAGTAGAGCATCAGCAGCAGCTATCAGGATGTCATCTACATACTGCAATAGGGTGAGCTGGGGCTGTTCCAGCCTGTACTCACCCAGATCTTCATGAAGTGCCTCATCAAGGAGAGTGGGCGAGTTGGGGGTGTTCCAGCCTGTACTCACCCAAATCTTCATGAAGTGCCTCATCAAAGAGAGTGGGCAAGTTCTTGAATCCCTGAGGCAGGCGAGTCCAGGTCAGCCGTCTGTTGAAACCAACCTCCGGATCTTGCCATTCGAAGGCAAAGAATGGCTGACTGTTCTTGGCTAAGGGCAGGCTAAAGAAGGCGTCTTTTAAACCTAGTACAGTATACCAGCTCCTGGAGGGTGGCAAGGAGCTCAGAAGGGTATAGGTATTAGGCACCGTGGCATGGCTATCCAGGACCCGCTTATTTACTTCTCTCAGATCCTGTACTGGCCGGTAATCCTTTGAGTTTGGCTTCTTTACTGGGAGGAGAGGTGTATTCCATGCAGACCTGCAGGGTACTAGGATGCCCTGATCTCTTAGCCTCCGGATGTGTGGGGTAGTCCCTGATCTGGCTTCATGGGACATGGGATACTGCTTCACCCAAGCTGGAAGGGCTCCTGGTTTCAGCTCCACCCAGATGGGTGGCCGGTGGGCTGCCAGCCCCATCCCTCCATTCTCTGCCCAGGCCAGAGGAAATTCCTGCAGCCAAACAGAAATCTCCTCCATTGGCTGTGGGTCCAGTTTTTGGTGCAGTTGATACTCGTCTTCCAGTTGCAAGGTCAGTACCTGAATGGGGTGGCCTCCTTTATCTACTAAATGAAACCCATTAGGTGAAAAATGGATGTTGGCTCCAATTTTGGTAAGCAAGTCTAAGAGTGGGTAGTGGCAATCTGGCATGACTAGGAAGGAGTGGACACCCGGCCCATGCCTAAGTCCACTTTCCTTTTCAGGTGGTCCATGAATATTGATTCATGCCAGTTGCTCCCTGTACCCAAGACCTTTTGTTTGACAATTTCCCTAGGGTCTCTGTTAACACTGAATGTTGAGCACCTGTGTCTACGTAGAAGATCACAGGTGTCCCCTCCATTCTGAGAGTTACCCTGGGCTCGGGGAGGGGATCCAAACCCCGTCCCCCCATTCATTCCATTCCCCAAGCTCCAGAACTTGCGTTTTTTCACAGGCCCGGTCCTGTCCAGCCAGTCTTTCTGGACATTCCTTCTTCCAATGGCCCATTTTCTTACAATAGGCACATTGGTTTCTCAACAGTTTCAGTTGCCCTTCCGGGCATTTCCTACCTTGTTCAGCTGATAGGCATTGTAGCTGGCATTCCCTTTCACCCAGGGACCTGGTCAATGTAGCCAGGAGAATCTTGGCAAAGTCGCAGGTTTACCTGGTGCTGGCAGCTGCCCAGACCTGCTTGTCCTTGGGACTCTCTCAGTGGTTGTAAACTTTTTCAGCCACTGCCAGAAGCTCTGGCAGGGTTTTATCTGCTAGTCTGTCCAATTTCTGCAATTTGAGCCTAATGTTGGGTGCTGACTGGTTCACAAACACCAGGATCACTGCATTCTTATTCTCTGGTGCTTCTGGGTTCATGGGAGTATAGGTACGGAACACCTCTAGAATCCTTTCTAGAAATGCTGCTGGCATTTTTATCTCCTGCTGCACATCACTAATCTTGGCCAAACTGATTGGGTGCCTTGCAGCCACCCGGAGATCCCCCATTAGAGTCTGGCAGTAGACCCGGAGCCTCTCCTTACCTTCAGCTGTATTGAAGTCCGAAGTTGGTTTAGCTAGGGGGAAAGCTTCATCAATCATGGCCTGGTTGGTCCCATCCACCCCAGGGACCAATTTGCAGGCTTCAACTTGAATCCGGTCTCTCTCCTCAGTGGTGAACAGGACTTTCAAAAGCTGCTGAATATCATCCCACGTGGGTTGGTGGGTGAACAAGACAGATTCTAACAAATCAATTAAACCTTGGGGCTTTTCAGAAAATTTAGCTGTCTGTAACTTCCAATTGTAAAGGTCGCTAGATGCAAATGACCAATACTGCATCTGCTGGTCCCCTGCTTCAGTGAGGGGCCCCACGGCCTGGAGAGGGAGGACAATAGAGTCTGCCTCCGGCCGTCGCTGCCCCCTCTGGACAATCCTCTGTGTCTGGGGAGTGTGTCCTTCTGCCTTCCGGGGTGGGGCTGCCTCCGCCTCCCCTGGAACGTCCTGAGGTTCTGCTTGTGGAACAGGCCGATATGGGGGTCGCTCAAGCAGGCGTTCTTCCCCTGTGCCTCCTTGAAAGACAGGGCCATGTCTGGGGAGGGTGTTCTTCTGCCTCCTGGGGTGGGGCTGCCTCTGCCTCCCCCGGGATGTCCTGAGGCTCTGCTTGTGGGACAGGCTGATGGGGGGGGGTCAAACAAGAGCTCTTCCCTGGTGCCTCCTTGCAAGACAGGGTAAAGGGGGGGCAGAAGGTTTAGTTTCATTTCTCTGCTGTTCATCCTCACGTAAGGCAAGGACAGTCAGCTTTGAGCTGGTGGGGTGAGGAGGAAGGAATGGCTTTAACCATTTTGGAGGCTCTTCCACCATAACCTGCCAAGTTGTGATGTAAGGGATCTGATCAGGGTGGCCTGGATGTCCATAAATTATATCCTTTACTCTATAGATGGTGGGCAGTTTGAACGTCCCCTCTTTAGGCCAGCCGGCCCCAAAGGCCAGCCATTCATTCCTGCAATACATAAAGAGCTTCCCTTTCTTTACTCCTAGCCCCAGGCTTTTGGCCTGGGCCTTGAATTCTGAGAAATGACCCTGAAAAAGGCTGAGAGGGGTTACTTGGCTCTGTCCCATCTCTTCCAACACAGTAAGAGTCACAAACCAAACAGAGAGCACAAATGCACACAGGAATAACACACGGTTAATTGGCACCTTGAACTGAAAGTAGGACGATAGCCTCTCGCCACCCAGTGGGTGTGACCCGCTTCATCCCTCCAAGTCTACCAGGGGAGTCCAATCCCTATCTGGTGGGTCCATGATGTCTCCCGAGTCCCATGGCCTGGGGCCTTCCAGTGCGTCTGCCTAGACCTCCAACAGGCAACCTGAAAACTGGGCCCCAAAACCAGAAGTACGCAAAGACAGAAGACATAAAGACAAGAGAAACTCACGGATCAGATCAGGCAGACTCAGCACTCTGGGGTCCCATGGGGTGGGGGGGGGTCTTGGGGATCCCAGACAAGCCCCCAAATGTTGTGCCCAGAGATCGGACCCCCAAGAATAACCATGGAATCCAGAGGGCACGCAAGAACAAAGAGTCTTTATTCGGGCCTAAGCTCAGGCTCTAAGACCTCACCAATGCAATGGATCTGTGCTGAGAGCCCCAATTGCAGGGGGTGGGACATTTTATAGGTTTTAGACAAAGGGAGGAGGGGAATAACAGAGTCACAATTTGATTGGTCCAAGGAGCCTGTGCACACCAACACACTTTTGAATTGATTAGTTATAGGGGATGCAGTCCTGGAGGTTTCTCATTGGTGGGTGCTACCCTCAGAGCTATGGAATGTGATGACTGTTATCTGTGGGGCCAGAAGTCCCTGTTTCTACCTTATAAAGCTGTTATATGCCTAGGCTTGCTTAATCTATAGCCTCCTGGTGTGGGGGTGGTAGGTGGAGATTACAACATGCCTGGGCATGTCCAGGCTTGCCTGAAACAGCTAGTCAAAATGGGGTAAGTATAGTTTGTCCTTTCAGTCAAGCAATCAAGCAGTTACAGAAGCAAAAAAGAGCAGTTAGTCCTAAAGAGGGGCAGGGGTCTCGGGAGTTCAGGGCAGAGGGTCAATAAGGAGGGCTTCACGGAAGTAGTCTCATAAAGTTTTTATAGTAACAGAAAAAGAAAAGTCATAAATCAAGACACTTTTCAAATACATTGGTGGAAACATTAAGTAGGTACACACAGCAAAAGAGAAATCTCAGCTATAAGCCTCAGATACTATCTGATTGTATTCTTACCCTTTTGGTTGGTGGGAGCTAGGAATTTGTTAAGTTAATACAGTCTTTTTTAAAAAATATTTTATTTATTATTTTTATTTTATGTGTATGAGTATATTGCCTGCATGTATGTGATTGTACCTGTGTCGTGCACTGCCATGGAGGTCAGAAGAGGGCTTCAGATTCCCCAGGAACTGGAGTTAAGGACAGTTCATAGCTGCCATGTGGGTGCTGGGAATTGAAAGCGGGTCCTCTGCAAGAGTAGCCAGTTCTCTTAACCACTGAGCCATATCCCCAGGCCCAAGTTAATACATTCTTAAAGTAAATGTATTCTTAATACCTTTTTTAAATCTGTTAGTCACAAGATACTGAGTCAGAAACAGAAATGGGCAAGGATTGGCCCTTTGGGGTTAAACATGGCCCAAGATAAATTGTAAATAGGCTGGGATCTGCAACATTCCAAACTCTGCACAGTCGTTGAAGTGCTAATCAGTTGGTCAGCATTGCAGGAAGTTCAGTTCAAGATGCAGGATTTTTCTGGGAACTTTTGTTTACTATACCATCTCCTAATGATGTTCAGGTTACCTCCTCAGAGGAGGGAATGTGACAGTAGCCTTGATAAGAGCTCTCTTGAGGCCTATTAAGGGAAAGCTATTTTCTCCTGGTCAAAAAGAAGGGAGTCTACCTCTGCCCCTGGGTGGAGTCCTAACAATCCATGCTACTCAAAGGATAAGAGTTAGTCCAGTTAGGTCTGCCAGTCACCTGGGCAAGAGACCACACCTCATGAAGGCTGATTCACTTTAAACCATGCTAAAGAGATAGGAGGAATAATTATTCCTTTTATGATATTATGTACTTTTCTTTCCAGAAATTCTGCTCTTGGTGCAGTCACTTGTGGATTCACGGCCAAGCAGCTTGCTAAGGTTGTCCACTTTTCTGAATTACTCAGAAAAGCATAACCTCATGTGCTGCTTATAAAAGGCATGGGTTTCAGCCTTCCATTCCTCCTCTGGGCAACTGCTAAGATTTCTAGCTTACCTGCCTTACTGATTTTCTAATAAAATTATCCTCAAGCTTTCTTCTGAGTCTGTTCTTAAATTCTTTCATTCATAAAGCTAAGAACTTTAAGAGGGGACCTCAATTTTCCTGCTAATGTGTGTGTGACACCCCCAGATAGTGTTAGAGTAGCAAAAAGCCCCATAAATTTAACTGGTCCAACTATAAAATCCCTAGTGTAACTTTCCAGAATCACTGGTCAATCACCTGGTGACAGAACCACCCCTAGGAAGGCAAGTCCACCTTAAATTATGCTAAATAGATGGGTGGAATACCCGGTGGGTGCTATAATGAGACAGTGAATTTTTCCTGCCTGGAATCCTGCCTTGCAGTGCAGAACTCCACAGAACTTCTGACCAGCCGAAGTCATGTAGGTCTCTGTAAGTCTGCTTTCCTGAAGAAGTAATTTCTCCTTTTCTTTCTTTTTCTTTTTTTTTTTTTTTTTTTTTTTTTTTTTTTTTTTCTTTTTTTTTTTTTTGAGACAGAGTCTCCTTATAGTCCCAGCTGACCTGGAACTCGCTATGTAGACCAGGCTGGCCTTGAACTCACAGAGATCCGCCAGCCTCTGCCTCCCAAGTGCTGGGATTAAAGGTGTACACCACCACACCCAGCCCTCTCCTTTTCTTCTTAATGGCTTTCTTACTAAGCACTTTTTCTTTAAGGCTTTGGGCTGCCCCTAGCATCTTGTATTCCTTCACTTTTTCTCTAAAGCTTCTTTCTCCCAGCCATGTGGCTGCCAGTCAGCCATGTCTGACCTCCATGTAGGTTCTAAACCTGCATGGCTCCATGGCTTGCTTTCCTTCTTCCCACCATTCACCTCCTCAAGGCAGCTGCCAAAATTATCAGCTCACCTGCCCTGAGGATTTTTCTTTAAGATTCTAATAAATTTGTAAGAGCTTCCATTTGGGTCCATTCTTAAATTATTTTATGAATGAGACTAAGAACCCTCTAGGGGACTGTCTTTCTCCCTGTTTCAATAGGATTCCCCCAAATTTTTGGTAACATGATTATAATTGATAAGGTCAAAGTCTAAATCACAGAATGTAGGAAGTAAGGGTATCTTCCCTGTAAACAAATAGTCCTATTTGCAAGACTCCCAGAAAACATCTGGCAA